GAAGTGGGACTGAAAAAACAAGTGAAGGGCAGGGGAGACCACAGTCTTGGGAAGCCTGGACATCAGGAAGCTAATCTGTAAAATGAGTGATTTCAGAGGCTTCATATGCCAAGTGTCTAAACAGCCCTGCAGCCAGAGCTACAAAGCTCCTCAACTCTCCTTCCCACACAGGGTGTGTGGCTGGGGCTGTTACACTGTGAACGGGCCTGCATTCCCGGCCCTGAGCTTGCCCCTGTGCGCCCCCCACACCCTCCCTACAGGAGCCCAGGGAGCATGTGTGACTGCTGTTCAGCAGTGGCCTGTGCATCCTCACAGTCGCAGGTGCTCAGTGGGTCACAGCGCCCTTCCCAGCGCTCCTGCCCTGCCCATCCTTATGAATGACTCACATGGAAGCGGTGAGCACATTTCATCGGGACACATTATTGTTTTTTTTTTTTTCACAATCATGGGTTTTACTATTATTTTTCCCATTTTACAGACATGGACTCTGAGGCACAGAGATATTGAGTAATGTACTTAAGGTCTCACAGCTAATAAATGGATGTTGGAATGGCTTTCAAATGTAGATAGCCTGGCTCCAGAGCCTGTACTCTGAATTATAGGTTAGTAGTTTGTAGTGCTTTTCTTAAAGGAGTTTCAATCACCTATATAATAAAAGACTAATATGCAAATATACAGAATGGCAGACTAATAGACAGTGAGCGCCTCCGGTGCTCAGACAGCCTCTCCTCCTCGCTGTGCCAGCAGCCACAACCCTGAGACATGATGGTGAAGGTTGGAGTGAACGGATTTGGCCGCATTGGGTGCCTGGTCACCAGGGCTGCTTTTAACTCTGGCAAAGTGGATATTGTGGCCATCAATGACCCCGTCATTGATCTCATCTACATGGTCTATATGTTCCAGTATGACTCTAGTCATGGCAAGTTCAAAGGCACAGTCAAGGCTGAGAACGGGAAGCTGGTCATCAACGGGAAGTCCATCTCTATCGTCCAGGAGCAAGATCCCACCAACATCAAATGGGGTGATGCTGGTGCCGAGTATGTTGTGGAGTCCACCGGTGTCTTCACTACTATGGAGAAGGCTGGGGCTCACTTGAAGGGCGGAGCCAAGAGGGTCATCATCTCTGCCCCTTCTGCGGATGCCCCCATGTTTGTGATGGGTGTGAACTATGACAAGTATGACAACTCCCTCAAGATTGTCAGCAATGCCTCCTGCACCACCAACTACTTGGCCCCCCTGGCCAAGGCCATCCATGACAACTTTGGCATCGTGGAGGGACTCATGACCACAGTCCATGCCATCCGCGCCATCCAGAAGACAGTGGATGGCCCCTCTGGGAAGCTGTGATGGCTGAGGGGCTGCCCACACATCATCCCTGCTTCTACATGGCGCTGCCAAGGCGGTGGGCAAGGTCATCCCTGAAATGAATGGGAACCTCACTGGCAAGGCTTTCCGTGTCCCAACCCCCAATGTGTCCA